CACAAGTCATCATAAACTTTAATTTACATAATTTAAGCTGCCTTCACGTTGGTCATATTTACACAAAGATATTATTGTATTAGAGCCAACATATCGATATGTATCAGTCTTGGACAGCCTTATGCTGGCGCCACACATTGTCCAATATCTGATCTACAATGGCTCCAAGTTATAGAACTTGGAGCCAATATACCCAAAGTGTAGCACCGGTATTAGATGGACTCAAATCCTTCCTAACGTCCAGTGTAGGTACTGTGTTAACTGGAGCTAGTTGTAGTATAGTGCCAATGCTTTTGAGGCAGAACGAAAGATGGGAATGAAAAAAGAGTAGACCGTGAAAACGGGAAAAAATGTCATTGGAATTAAAGTGTAGTACAATTTTATGCCACATTTGGATATTTGAACGCTACCGCAATTTAGCGCCACTAAAAATACACTTCGAGGAATACTTTTAGTGCGTTACATTAGGTGCGCTTCAAAATGAGTGCTCTTCGAAGTATTATTTTGAAATTGGGGCCAAATTTGGAACAAACTTACACCACTGTGTGGATGCGGCTTTACTTTTTTTTTTAATCAAAAGAAACGTGTCAAGTTTTGACAATGTGTTGGGTGAGATTTATTGGTCAAAAAACTCTCATGAATTATTTTACTTTTACTATTGAGTTTGTCATAAAGCGTTTGTTTTAAAGTGCAAAATTGTTTAAATTGTAATTTATAACTTTGGTTATTCAGAGATATAGACTAACCTGCTTTAAAAAATCACACGTTCAAGGTCAATCGAGGCAACTCTAAAATCTAGGTTTAGAACCCACAATGTGGGCTGAAGAAACCACAACTTTGTATCTTTATTATTAGGCTGAGACTTTAAGATCTTGACTTGCATTGAAATAAAATTCTTAGAATAGCAGTAAATTGTACTTTATCTCCTTTCGGATAATCTCTTTTAAAAACAACTATGTATTTAAAGAAAGTAAATAAAGTGTCAAGTCAATATCGTAAGAATTGAAAAACGAAGTAATTTTTTATTTACACTAGATCATAAATTAACCAAGCCTATTTGGTTAAATTTAATTATTCAGACCAATCACCTGCCTTGAATCTTTGCTCTAGTATCGAGATCTATATTTAAGCATCATTTGCATACTGGCCTTATAATAACAACAGTGCATTTTTCCTTAAACCTGACTTTAAAGTCTAATTTCACTTATTTTGTACTTATAACCCACTGTGCGTAGTTCAGTTCAGTACCCCTGGAAATAGTCCCGGGTTTGCGGGACCACTATTCCCACCTCTCGTTCCCACCGCTGCAACTCCTGTGTAGCCAGGATCTACAGCTTGACCGCCAATAAAAACCCAACCAGTGAAGATCAAGTTTGTCCCAGAGGAAAGTTAAACTGTCATTGGACCCGCATCGAAATTAATCAGAAGAACTAAGGAGTTCGAAGTAAAGGTTGGACTTCCCTCCAGTGCAAAGCAGATAGCTGTTGATATAGAAAAGTGCGCATTTTTCGAGTGCATATTCTGCGTCAAACCCGTTCAGTTCGTCACCAGTGACCCATATAAGACTCTACCGTTTTGGCAAGCGAGAAAAAGCTTAAAATACAGTTACTCCCATAAATGTTCGCGTATTTATAACCCTAAATACTGCGGCCTTTTATGTAGGTACAAGTTTTATTTGTGCCGGGCACTTTTTATAGTTATTAAAATGCAGATTGCATTATACTGCGGAATATTCATAGTCTTGTTTGAATATTCTGAAATTATTGCAAACCTTGTTGAACTTTGGCAACGTTTCGTGTATTTTTTACAGGTTTGTTTTTAATTGGAGAGAGATAGGGTCAGTTGTTGAAATATTTTATGTAGGTAATTGGGGCAGATTTAAGATGGAGTAAGTTTGAAATTGACAGAAAAAAAAACGTAGCAAAAGTAGTGGTAGCACCGCTCGATAAAGCTTTTTAAAAGTCTAACAGCATAAAATAAATTACTTTTATGACTTTTTGTGCTCAAATTATTTCATTAAAATGTAGATACTTCTTGACTATTTTAGTATGTATAAGAAATTTGTCGTACGTTTTCGCTTCATGTAATCTACTAAACGTAAAATAATTTTCCACAAAGGTCGGCTCTAGAAAATTCTTCACTAAAACTCAGGAACGTTTTCCATTGTATTGTCACAATATTTCTGCAATTTATTCACTACAAATAGAGTACGTATCTGTACAGTACATCAAACTATACTTTATTATTCTAAAACCACCCCAATTCCCACTACATAAGCTTCTTTAGCTTGATATACCGCCGTCTATATCTACTATATAAAAATAAGTCGGGTTTTCCTTCCTGACGCTATAACTCCAGAACCACTAGCCACCAGCACGATTTCCACTATTTTGCATTCGTTGGAAAGGTCTTGGGCTCCTTGAGGTTTATAGGTTATATAAAAAACCGAAAAATTTCACACGGGCGAAGCCGCGGGCGGAAAACTAGTCGGTTATAAACTCGCGCCTACAACGACACCTCCAGATCATTGATCTATAGATCCCGCGCACGCGCGTGTCAATAACCGTTAACGAGCGAGTGATCGATGGATCATTAACATGTATCGATGCAGTGTGACGGTAATTAGATTTTCGTGTTGTTTTGACGAATATATCCGGTGTAAAATACGTGAAATATTTATTAATTTGATCAAATGTAGAGTCATTCATAGATGACATGAACGAAGCAGTTAATGTTAGTTGATCATAATCTGCCCCCATAAACCTGAGATTGCTACCTGGCATTAAGTCCACCACTGTACAGTTTTATGTGCAAAAGTATAAATAAATAAATAAACATAGTGCCATTCGTGATAGTTTTAATTTGGTGAAGAGTATTTGATGCCTCCGACTGCATTTGTGAAAGCTTCCTTTAAAACTTTTACCTTTACCTACTGTAGTCATGTAGAGCTTTGCTTAGCTCAAGCTGATTGTTGAAGCAGTCAGTGAACCTTATAAGGTTCACGAACCTTACTAATAAAAGGTACACTGACTTATAAAATTAACTCTACCTTATTTATTTACACTGGGCTTAATGATATAGAATGAGTAATCAGATAAATGCTTTTCAAACACATGCAGCGTTTAAAATCATTACGTTAGAATGTCATTATCATTATTTTATTAAGACGTGTCGTTAGGAGTGTTTTTTTCATTTTACGAGAGCTTTTAATATAATAAAAGTGATGTTCTTTGCACGCGATGCGTTTCTGAACTAGTCTAGTTTGCTTCTGTCTTCAATTGAATTGAAAATTTTTTGGTAACTGGCTGAAGTCAGTTTAAAAAAAAAAAGTAGATCATAGGGCAAGTTAAATAATATTACAAACGCTAACAGTTAACATGTTATTCTTTCATGCTGGTTCACAGCATTAAATAATTGGCATACTTATAAAACTATAGTTGTTTTTTGCCATGATGTTGTAAATTCGTACTTAATATTTTTGACATCATTATTTGGTTTTACCTCACTAATGTCTTTTATCTTTCTACTATAATTTCATCAAAAGAATATCGCTTCTTTTGTCCACAATTTTTAACCAAAAAATCTCACAAAAAGTTTGCGTCTTACAGTTATTTATTTACCGCAATTAAAGGTCAGTGTGTGAGCAAGAGGTATGTGTGGCGCTTCATTATGACTTTATCTTTGCAAAAAAGTAAAAATACTAACTTTACACAGATATAAACCGTATGTGAATAACCTTTAAGGTTAGTTTTTAGTGCAGTATTGAGTAGAGTCATGATAGGTACTTAAATATGACCCAAGATGACTAGAGTATTATTTTAGTATTAAATTTCTTTTATTGCCTAACTCAATTATAAATTACAGTTTGTTACCTAGTTAGAAGTAAAAACTACATTTTATATCAATCAATATAAACGTGTGGAGACACAAAATGTAAAGTTTCAGACTTCATAATGCATTTTTACACCCTGTATACAGTAATTTGATGATAGTAGCTACACCACATATAAAGGTACAGGCCTACACAGTTCACGCGAGATGGGCAAGCCTTTTTTCAACATTCTACAGTAGCGAACCAGAGTCTCTCAGGCACTCTGATATGACTGACAAGCTAAAAAAAGACGTGCTCTCTCGCTCACGTATCAAAAAGTTCAAAAACTAAAGTTGCTTCTAAGTTTCTTTGTTGAAGATATTATTATAAGGGTCAAAACCCTTATTTACGGTCAATTACCTACTCGGTAATTAAAAAGTGAATTTTCAAAATTAGTGTTGTGACGCTGAAAATCTCGATATTTTTGAGATATCGATAGGTTTTTCGTGAATCTACTCATGGAGCAACGAAGGAATGATTGGATAGACAAATTGGCTGATGTAATCAGCATTTAATGTAAACGTACGCCCTTTAAATCTGCTAAATATTTTTTCTGATTATTTACTTAAACATTAATTATACGTTCTTAAACACTTAATTCTCTACTTTCAATTTAAACTACATGATAAAAACGCCTTATCATTTATCGATAGATTTCCAAACGATAAGTATAACACACTATTGCACATGGAGTTAATCGAATGCCAATTAAAAGCTGGTTTGTGTTAAAAATAACAGCTTTATTTTGTCCGTGCAGATATATTATTTTGTTTTTGTTTCCCCCACTGTTAATTGCATTTTAATGCGTGTCAGTAATGGATTTTGTTTTCATAATTTTATAAAGTTTTGACGGAGAGTATTTTGTATTTTCACTTTACGATTGGTTTGACAGAAGTTTTTAACGTTGTAGGTGTTTTTGAAGGCAAAAAAATTTACAAATAGTGAAAATACATGTAGGTACATTATAGAAGTGGAAGAATTTCTGACGCATTAAGCTTAAGCGTACTTAAAATAGGGATTCATATTTCATTTATTCATTGCATCATGGATGACAAAAACTATCCTGTTTTTCTCCTTGACAAAATATTCAAGAAATGATTAGAAATAGAGAATAAACAAAATAACTTACCGATTATGACAAGAAGAGCTGCTGTCGCCAAAAACTGTGACCTAAACTCCATTGTGGTGGCACTAAATTTATTTTATTCACTATCAGTCTTGGTTTGTTCACTTAAATTATTGGTAGCACTTTTTATTCGTGTTCAGTCGTCCATGGTGAGATTCTGTAACAAGAAGAAATATTTATTAGTCTAAAGAAAACTGAAAATTGATACAACGCTATTTTAAAATAAAACCAATCGTAGCTTATCACTAAGTAGATTAAACGTAGGTATGTATCTATTAGCATGTCAATATCAGTCATTATAATTATCTAAATAATACTAGCTAGCTTTTTTAAACAGACGAAATTACTTCGTTTTTCGTTTAGTTCGTTAAAATTAGGGATCAATCGATACCCGTGTGATTGAAAAGACTCATTTTTTTAACCCATTTTTTTTACCGATAGTTGTATTATCGATCTTTTGCTCAAAACATTTTATCGATAAGCAAAAATTGCACCACTAAGTTTAGTGTTAAAAAATGCGGATTTAATGTATAAAAATCCGCAGAATGTGATGTTCCAGATACATGAGTATAACAGAGCGATATGATTACTTTCGATGGATCCACTTGATCGTGAGAAGTAGTGCGTGAGAAAGATCCAGGCGTAGCAACAGATATCTATGTTTATGCCTAAGCACAGACAAGTCTGCTTGGTATATTTAGACGTGCATCTGCATATTGAGTCATTATTTTTTAAGATAATCTTATGGCTAAGTTGAATAGAATAAAATAGAAAACTTTTTATTTGCAAGAAAGGTATACAAGCAGGCAAGACATAGATTCAAACAGAGAGAGATAAAAAAGTGGACAATTAACTGCTTGTGCCCCTCTGACAAAAAGGCACCCGCTCATAGTCAAGTTGGGATACCCGGTTAATTTTTATTGCGAAGCAAATTGATTTTATGTCCCAACTAGCTGACCCGGCGAACTTTGTTCCGCATTAATGGCAATAAATAAGCAGACTTTTTTTTTAATTTCGAACGGGATAAAAAGTATCCTATGTCCTTCTCCTGGCTCTAAACTACCTCCCTGACAATTTTCAGCTAAATCGGTTCAGCCGTTCTTGAGTTATAAGCGAAGTAACTAACACGACTTTCTTTTATATATATAGATTTGTAAAAATATCAATCGACAGTAGACCTGTGTAGGTAAAGTCAGCTTCAAATAGTTCGTGACACGCAAAGTGACCAAAAAGTTAACAACGCAACCTTAGGGTAAGGTGGGGCACAATGTTACACGGGGTACAATGTTACAATGCATTATTTCTCCGTCCCTTTCTATAGTTGTATGATGTTCAGCGGCTCAGTTCAGCAGCTCTTATGAGCTTGACAAACGTGTATACCAACATCATACAACCAATAGAAATTGACGGAGAAATATGCATTGTAACATTGTACCCCGTGTAACATTGTGCCCCACCTTACCCTACTCCAATCGTAACAAAGACGTGTTGCGAATTTTTTGTCTTCTTTCTTCTTAGACGCTGACTGTACCTCAGTAGTAGGTACTTTTGTTAATTTTTTCACATTGTAAAATTACAACAATAGTGATGACAGTAACTTAGGTATAAATAGCATCAAGTATGATAATAATAGAGATATTAAAATTCCTCGTGAGAGACCACACAAAAGATTTATTTTGACATTTTTATTCATCGAATATATAATTTTCTATCACACATTGAACTGCAATTTACATTCATAACAAATGCTTTTAAGAATAAAATCTCAAACCATTGACGTTTTTATTCAGTATTACAATAATTTATTACTGTTTTACATTTTGATACAAGCATTGAATAATGAACATGATATCAACACCGTTGATTTCACTGTGAAATACAGGCTAGAGTATTAAAGATAATATCATAGCACATGACTGACCCGGCGAACTTTGTACCGCCAATAAAAAGTTCTTAATTTATCAATGTAGATCATCGGGGATAATGTGAGATTCTTGTGATGACAGAATTTTGCATATTGGTCCAGTAGTTTCGGATTCTATTCAATACAAACAAACCATGAAAAATTTCCTCTGTATATCAGTGTAGATAGATATAAGTTAGACCACAAAGTCTTCAGCAGTAAACTGTAAAGATAATATATGTACAAATAAATACCAACATTTTAGGTTATTGGTGAAAGCACAGACTTTCACAAGGTTTCCCTTTGGGTCCCTTTCACGGTGAGCCTAAGGCTTACAAAGCCGAGATACCATCGGGCGCTGAGTTTCTATAAATATTTAATAAAATAGGATGGGGAACATTGATTTTATTGGTATAAGATACTGTCTGATGCTTTGAGTGGATTTCAGAATAATTAAGTATGATTACTTTGAAATTTCTCAACTCACAAGTAAAAATAATTTCTATGGGACCACTCTAAATGGGAATTCTGACGTTTAAAAAGGCTTTTTAAAAGCACAATTGAAAAAAAAATACAATATTTTTTATCTGTTCTCCGTATGCCTGAAAAAGCTCTATAATCAAAAACTATTAAAATTGTAAATACTTAGTATCAAATACTGAGCCACATAATAAAAATAGAGTAAAAATCTGGAAAGACATACAGGCAAAAGTGAAGATACGAGAAGATATCCACAGAAAGCCACTCAATTCGCATCCGATTTTTTTTAATCTTTCAAACAACAATTTCTAAGATTTACAACTCGATAATCAATCGGCGATAATGATCAATTTCGTACCACTTAACAATTAATTAAAAGATTAACTTTTTCAGCAACAACAATTAGTGCATGAAAACTATTGGATGCTTCTTCGCACATTGCCAATGTGGCGATTGTCGCGTTTACTTCAAACTCGGCAGAGTAGAATACATTTGTCACGGCCGTGTGGTGACGGCAGAGTAGAATACATTTGTCACCAACCCCCTACTCTTCCCGCGGGTGTCGTAAGAGGCGACTTAGGGACTACACATCAAACAGAGAATGGGCAGCAGCGCTCTCTGAAAAACATCAATCTTTTAAACTGCGATCTCCAACCCGCCTGCCTAGCGTGGAGATTATGGCAAAACCCTCCACTATAGTGGAGGAGGCTCATAGTCCAGCAGTGGACTGTAAAGGGCTGTTGATGATGATGATGAGCAATCGTTTAATATCGTACAACTAGCGGCCGCCCGCGACTTCGTTCGTGNACTTCCTTTAAAACTTTTACCTTTACCTACTGTAGTCATGTAGAGCTTTGCTTAGCTCAAGCTGATTGTTGAAGCAGTCAGTGAACCTTATAAGGTACACGAACCTTACTAATAAGGTACACTGACTTATAAAATTAACTCTACCTTATTTATTTACACTGGGCTTAATGATATAGAATGAGTAATCAGATAAATGCTTTTCAAACACATGCAGCGTTTAAAATCATTACGTTAGAATGTCATTATCATTATTTTATAAAGACGTGTCGTTAGGAGTGTTTTTTTTTCATTTTACGAGAGCTTTTAATATAGTAAAAGTGATGTTCTTTGCACGCGATGCGTTTCTGAACTCGATAGTCTAAGTTTGCTTCTGTCTTCAATTGAATTGAAAATTTTTTGGTAACTGGCTGAAGTCAATTTAAAAAAAAAAGTAGATCATAGGGCAAGTTAAATAATATTACAAACGCTAACAGTTAACATGTTATTCTTTCATGCTGGTTCACAGCATTAAATAATTGGCATACTTATAAGACTACTAGCGGCCGCCCGCGACTTCGTACGCGTGGATCCCGTTTTACCCCCTTTTCCCGAATTTTCTTTGCTATAAACCTCACGGAGCCCGAGACCTTTCCAACGAATGCAAAACCGTGGAAATCGGTTCGTTCGTTCTGGAGTTATAGCGTCAGGGAGGAAAACCCGACTTATTTTTATATAGTAGATAGTTGTTTCTTGCCATGATGTTGTAAATTCGTACTTAATATTTTTGACATCATTATTTGGTTTCACCTCACTAATGTCTTTTATCTTTCTACTATAATTTCATCAAAAGAATTTCGCTTCTTTTGTCCACAATTTTTAACCAAAAAATCTCACAAAAAGTTTGCGTCTTACAGTTATTTATTTACCACAATAAAAGGTCAGTGTGTGAGCAAGAGGTATGTGTGGCGCTTCATTATGACTTTACGAGGGGCGGCTGAAAAGTTTTGAGCCTAGGGTATTAAAAATGCCGATAGAAAAGTATAAAAAATATATTTTTCTATTTAATCTCCCTCTACTACAATGGACTTCTTACATTTGTGTAAAAGAGCTTTTAACCCACTGAAAAAAAAATCGCAATCTTTGCCTTCGAAATGAGCCTTTAACGTCGCCTTCATTTCTTTGTCACTCAAAAATCTTCGTTCCTGGAGGTCTTTTTTCCGATTTGAGAATTAGACAAAATAGCTAGGGATTCAGACTAAACTGTGTGGTGGGTGATTAATTTCTTGAAATCCAGCTTTACCCGGGGTAAGCCATGCAAAATGCGCAGTGTGCGCGGGCGAATTGTCTTGCAATAACAGATTTCCTTTCGCCAGTTTGCCACTTAATATTTCAACAACCACTTGACGCACTTTTATCAGCAGTACAGCATAATAATCCCCGTTTATTGTTGTTTTTTTTAAGTATGTAGTCAATGAATAAAATTCTTCCACAATCCCAAAAATAGTGGCTATGAGCTTGGGTGACGATCGCTCCACTTTGATTTTCCGCGGCGGCGTTTTCCCTTTTGAATCCATTGCATTGACTCTTATTTTGACTCTAGATCGTACTGCCGGATCTATTATTTATCAATAGTGACAATGTGAGAAAAAAAATTGTTAGGATTATGGCCAAAGATGTCCTAAAACTCCTGCGAAGTTGTGACTCGACGCTGGTTGTCGAACGGCGTGAGCATTTTTGGCACCCATCGCACGCACCCCTATTTCATGTGCAAATGAGTATGAAAAATATCGCCAATACGTTCCTTGCTAATGCCTATGGCTTCAGCTATATGTCACAGCTTAATTCGCTGATCTCTAAAGCAAGATTCTTTAAATTTTCATTATTTTATTCGTTAATGGCGAAATCTGGCCGCCCTAACTTGCGGTCATCTTTTAGCGACTCCCTGCCATGCTTGAATTATCGGATCCAATCTTTCATGGTGG